ATCGTAAATTTCGATTAATCATCCCAACTTTCGTGTCCTCTTTAGTGCGAAACCATGCTATGAATGTGTGCTCTAATACTACAGTAACATCCTTTTTGGCAGGCGTTTGAAGATACTTATAACTATAAGATGTATTGCCTGTGAACCTCGTAGTATCCTATTATTAGCCATTTATTTGGTATAGCCCTAGGGTTAGTTCATGAACACGGTACTGCTCCGAGTGTATTCAATTGGCCTTTGTGTCATTCATCGATGTAAGTGACTTACACACGTATATTTCGACCACTGTAGATTCAATTCATGAAAACTTCATACTTGATTTGTTGAACAGGATGGCAAGATGGCGGCTATATTTTAAAAAAGACATTCATTTATAACGTATCCCTTAAACACAGTAGTCAGGGTCATGCAAATCGGTGCTTCTCAAACTGTTATTGTGTCGAGCGAACGGGAATTATCGACATTACAGCTAGGGCCGCTGTCCATTTCAATCATGACAGTCATTCGTCAATTCTCTTAAAATTTTCATCTTTTAATGGGCCACTAATTTAAGTACTTTACCTTAGCTCCTGGCTCATGGAAATGAAGCTAATTGATAAGAAGTAATGCCCCCCCCCCCCCCCCCCCCCCCCGTGTAGACGACCATGCTTCATACAATGATGAAATAAATAACCAGAAGTTAAATGGAAGAAAGTATGGTCTAGATGCCAAAAAAGTATGGACTAGATGCCAGCAAAGTATGGTCTAGATGCCAGCAAAGTATGGACTAGATGCCAGCAAAGTATGGACTAGACGCCAGCAAAGTATGGACTAGATGCCAGCAGCTGCCAATAAAACGCAAATTTCAAGAGAGGCTGGTAAACACATATTATCTATAGATATGTTACATACAGAGGCTGGTAAACATATATCTATAGATATGTTACATACAGAGGCTGGTAAACATATATCTATAGATATGTTACATATAGAGGCTGGTAAACACATATCTATAGATATGTTACATACAGAGGCTGGTAAACACATATCTGTGTTGTTCGTCCGTCGAGGATCGACGAGGACCATCGAGTCGTCTGGTGACTGATGACTTGCGCGGGTGACTTTGTTTTAAAGTGAGGAAGAGTTGCGCGGCGTCTACCTCACTCTCTCGTCCGAGCCCACCATATCCAGTGGCAAGACTCTACGTCAAGACGACCAGGGATGGGTTCGGTTGCAGGAATTGTCATTGTATGCGCCTTACGGGACTCCAACTCCGGGTTTGAATTCAGAGTTTCCTTCTCTTAGATGAGTTGCCGACCAAGGTTAACGAGTCTCATCCACCCGGGGTGATGTTTTTGCCTTTGGCTGGACTTGAACACCAGACCACCAACTTGAGGTTTGCTCAGTTTAGACCATTTGGCCACCCAGTCATCTATAGATATGTTACATACAGAGGCTAGTAAACACATATCTATAGATATGTTACATACAGAGGCTGGTAAACACATATCTATAGATATGTTACATACGGAAGCTACTAAACACATATCTATAGATATGTTACATACAGAGGCTGGTAAACAATAGATATGTTACATACAGAGGCTGTTAAACACATATCTATAGATATGTTACATACAGAGGCTGGTAAACATATATCTATAGATATGTTACATACGGAAGCTACTAAACACATATCTATAGAAATGTTACATACAGAGGCTGGTAAACAATAGATATGTTACATACAGAGGCAGGAAAACACATATCTATAGATATGTTACATATAGAGGCTAGTAAACACATATCTATAGATATGTTACATATAGAGGCTGGTAAACACATATCTATAGATATGTTACATATAGAGGCTGGTAAACACATATCTATAGATATGTTACATATAGAGGCTAGTAAACACATATCTATAGATATGTTACATATAGAGGCTAGTAAACACATATCTATAGATATGTTACATATAGAGGCTGGTAAACACATATCTATAGATATGTTACATGCAGAGGCTGGTAAACACATATCTATAGATATGTTACATACAGAGGCTGGTAAACACATATCCATCGAAGGCTTAATATCTGAAGGAGAAGGCTTATACCGCAACTTAGTTACAAGCCTTATCAATGGGTGCGATGAAAATTTTGTCCAGCTGAATGTCTTAAAAACAAAGAAAATGGTTGTTGATTTCAGGAGGGGGAAACACCAAATTACAGATCTAAACATAAAAAATCAAAATGTGGAGAAAATAGAGGCATATAATTACTTAGGTGTCACCATTAATGAAATGCTAACATGGCATGAGCACGGCCAAATGATGTTTAAGAAATTCAACCAAAGACTGTTCGAAAAAAAACTTTAAAAAAACTGTACAATTTCGGCGTAAACAAGCAAGTCGTTAACTTATTCTACAGTGCAACTTTTGGAAGCCTGCTTAATTTCAGTATTACCTGCTGGTGTGGGAATTCAATGTCTGATATTTAACACAGCATAAACCGACTAATCAAGAAAGCTAGAAACATAATACAAACTAAACATCCTTCACTTGAAGAACTATTTGAAGAAAGACGTTATAGTAAAACTAAACACATTTTGGATTTCCATCACATATACTTAGGATCGGCCCGTTCGGGGAGCATTCTTTCTCCCAGGACGAGGACTGAAAGATATTCAAATTCTTTTGTTCCCCAATCTGTACGAATTTACCAGCGTGCTCCCCCTGAAGTCACAAATTTTCATGAGAACGAAGAAGTCCCTGACATGGCTAACAGAGCTCACCATATGGCTGGTTTTGTTAGTTGTTTTTTTTTTTTTAATGTTTTTTTTAAATAAGTTTGTTGTGTTCAAATTGTTTTATTTATGAAAATGTACAATGCAATCATAAAACATTTCCAATTGTTAGATCAATAAGGGAATCTTATTTTATCTTAGCAATGAACTCAAACTTTAATTCGCTTATAATTATCTCTTCTTCCCATTTTGGTGGTTGGGCTTCTTTACTATGGGTTGCCCGACAACATCGATAACATTGCACCTTTGTCTTGTATGGTCTCCTAGCCACCTATAGTTTCCCCCATGAGCCATAAACCATACATTTAGGGTAAAAGCATAAAAAAGTTAAAGCAGTGTAAGCTCACCAAAAAAGAATGGAATCTAAAATGTACAAGTTGAATCTGGGTTAAAATCTTGTTTTATCTTATTTTTTTTTTTTTAATCTTTTTATTTAAATAGATATTTTTTTAATCAATCAAAGAGGGATAATGGGGATAATTTATGAAATGCAGACTAAAAGAGAGTTACACTTCCTTATTGTTAATTATTGAGAAGATGTTGGTAAAAATTAATGTTCCTACTACTTAAATTAAAATAAATAAATAATATATATATATATATATTTATAATTCATGATGAAATGATTATACTTTAAAACCATTTTGTTTTATATCGTGCAAAAATAATATATGCTGGTTCTTTTAAAAATAGCATAGTGTGACCTACTTTACTTTTGTTTAAATAGCGTTAAGTTTAAAATCTCTCTTTTTTTTCCTTTCTATTTTGAAATATTTTCCATGTTTTAAAAAAGAAGTGTTAAATGTTATATATCACCATCTATTTAAATCACAACGTTAATATCAACATTATTTAGTATAAAAAGGGTTGTGTTGGTTTTTTTTTTTTTTTTTTTTTTTTTTTTTTTTTGTTTTTTTTTTTTTTTGTTTTCTATGTTCATTTGCATTTTGTGAATCACTCAATTATACATTCACATGTTTTAAATAACCAATGCCAATTCATATTATTTGTAATATCAATCATCAATGTCAATCTGTCACTTCCACGTGTGGTAGGTAGCCTACAGAAATAAAAATTTACAAGAAGAAAAGAGTGCTGACATAACAGAAGTAGTCTAACTAAACTAATGTAGCCTATATTTTGAGTTAAAAACGAAAAAAAAAATGGTTGGAAACATCGTCCCTTTAAAAAATGAGCGCTCATGTTCTCAGAGTTTCTTTCAGCTATATCTCCGGGGGGTGGGGGGTGGGGGCGTGATAGATGCTCTGACTGGGAAGTTAGTTGTAAAAGAATTACAAAAAATAGCATGCGATACTTTATGAAGGGGGTGGGAGAGGGGGTGATGGTCTCACAGGAGAAGATAGTGGTACCGGAGAAAAAATATGTCCAACAATAAATCAACTGGAACTGCTGGCACTGCCATCCCAAAAAATCTCAAGTGCCCCCCCCCCTCCTGAAAATCTGAGATGCCCCCACCCTGAAAGAAACACTGCATGTTCTTTGTGGGCAAACCGCTTTTCTATATTAATGGTAGTGACTGGCAACTGGCGACTGTAACGAAATTATAGACATGTTCTAAATACCGGTACCTAAAAACTGATATTTAAACATATTACATATAAGGTAAGTAACAAATCGATGAAAGTAAAACAAATAATTAATTGTTGATTAACCAGTTAAATTAAATAATATTCTTTCTTAATATTTTATTTTTAAGTTTGAGACTAGTTTATTGCCATATAACTTGAAAATCTACTAAATATCATTGTGCGTTATTTTTCATAAAAATTAGGCTAAACAAGAGTACTATTTATATACAATAAAATCATAAAGGTTTTCAATTTTCAGTGATCGCATTTTTAACTCTTGTTATTCCTGAGAGCAGTACAGGTTAAGACTAGAAAAATTTAACAACAAAAAACAAGAAAAAGGAAAATTAAATTTATTAATTTGTCGAAAGAAAGAGTTCATCTAATATTCTAATTTAAACGTTCAAACAACTATAAAACTATTCATATTTCATCCAAGGCATCTCCCTATATTTTGTTCAAAAGAACGCCTCAAGACAGAAGACAAAATATTTAGGCCATAGACTAAAACGCCATTAAATTTGCTGTATCTCGAAGATTTATTGAGTTGTCTATGACCCAGTAGTGATATTATTATTTTGCAGTGGGTTGTCGAAAGTTATCTCGGTAAAAACTTCATTTCTAGGTTATTTTCAAGACCGGAAGTTTAAAGAAAATGGCGTCACCGGTTACATGTTTATGTTTTGGAGCAAACCTTTTTCTACTGTTTCTTCAAGTTTTAGCGGGGTAAAATATTTAAATGTCTTTTAAAACTTTAAAATTTTATATTTATTTCAATATTTTCGTGTTTTCATATCTTATTTAACACAAGGAATTGTATAATTTAAATAGATTTAAAACGAAAGTTGGGTGTTTCTAAGTTCTATTCACAACGTGAATGCGTGGTCCGCTGTGATTGGCTGGATCGCTATACTGTCGATATTTTACTTCTCAGTTCTACGTTGCGTGATTATAGTATTGTAATTACAAATATATCTTAGGCTTTACAATTTATATTGGCATAGTCCCTGTAAATGTATATATTATATGGTTAATGAATATATCCTATGTTTGAAATATAATTATAAAGCTCTTCCTTGGCCCTGCTTGACCTGACTTTACTTACTATTATTACTAATAAATAACTTCACTGATTCACTACTTTCAATAACATTCTCATTTATGGCTGCTGACTAGTCATACTATTCATACCCCGGGTTCCAGAAGTGAGAGGTTGGGACTAAAGAACTATTTAAAATATTATTGATGGATTTATTAGACAAAATAAGGTATCAAATGAAAGATAATTGAATGGACTAAATAATAAGTAGCCACTTCGATGAGATCCGGGAATTGCCGAAACCGGTTTTCGTGATTTCGTTATCAAAATGGTGACCTCCACTTTTTAATTTACAGAGAGCCTCGTTTACAATTTGTTTTTTAATTATAGCACATTCTGTTTCTGCCCACAACTTTACGTTGTTTTATGATTAGACACTTTAGTTCTAATAAATATTTGAGGTCTTAACTTTGAAAATTGAAGGTAAAATAATGCTTATTTTACTCATTCATATTTATTTATTTTTTTGGAAAGGGTGTCTTTCTTAAATAAAAAGATGACGGGAGATAATAGCATAAATTACAACATATAAAAAATTCAAGAGGTTAGCACCCAGTTCAATGGTAAAAACATGCCTACCAAATTTTTGCCATGTGTGTCCCAAAATGAAATATTATCGATAACTATTTTTAATAATGCAAAAAAAAAAAAAAATGTAAATAACTTGATTTACAATGGAAATCCAGCTTATTACTCCAAAATAACTCATTCAAAAGCAAAAACAAATAATTTAATAACACAGATACCTATTTTAACAACATAAATATATATTTTTAACTTGTTTTGATGCTTTCATTGAGGGTATTGACTTGGGTAGTGGGTTAAACTGAATTTATTATAAGCCTCATTATTATTATAATTAATATATTAAATATAACAGTTTAATATATATACAGGTCTAGAAAAGTAAAGTATTTTAAGTATAGGCCTAGCTCCACCCCCAACTCATTATTTGTGTGACACATTATTTGTTATTTGTAATGAATTTAATGTAAATATTTTAATGAATATTATGATTCTTAATGCATAGATTAAGCAAAAATGTAAACAAAAAAATTGTCACTTAGCTTTCATATTGAAATATTCTATATTTAAGCACAATATTTCACAAGAGAATTATTACATAATCTTTGGTATTCTCAAAGAAAAAACACACTTTCTGCCACAATAGTCCAAGAATTACTTATGATATTATTAATAATATTAAAGAAGAATCATAAAAACTTATACTTACCACAAGCGAATGACTAGAACTTATTTTAGTTTGTATAAACCACCAAAGTTGATTCTATCAATGCATGTTAATTTGTGAAACAAGATTACTAACTTGTAAAAAAAATGAAATACTATTTTTTTGTCATATTCAGACATTCAAATGATATGGGACTAAATATATATAGAAAATGGTAAAATAAAAAGTGTAATCGTAAATTTTAACTAAATGAAACAAGTAATCCCATTATTATTAGTTTATACTTATAAATGTTAAACAATTCCACAGAAAATTTGAAATTTATATCTAAAGAACATTTATTATTATGATTTTAGAGAAATTTAAAAAAAATATTTAAACGAAATTAATTAATTAATTTCAAGTAAGTGACGAGTCAGCATATATATACTTGTTTTAAAGGAAAAAAATCAAGATTTTTTTTTTTTTTGCTGAATATTAACAAAAACTAACTTATATTTTTTGACTTTTTTAGAAGTACTCTTATTTAACTATTTTTCTTTTAAATATTATCTTTTTGTCTCATTTTACAATAAAGTTATAGGCATTCAAAAAAAAAAATTTTTAAAGGAAAAAAATCAAGATTTTTTTTTTTTTTTGCTGAATATTAACAAAAACTAACTTATATTTTGTGACTTTTTTAGAAGTACTCTTATTTAACTATGTTCCCTGTAAATATTATCTTTTTGTCTCATTTTACAATAAAGTTATAGGCATTCAAAAAAAAAAAAGCAATTTGAGGGTCACGAAATGTGGAGGAAAATCCCATAGTAAAAAAGTGCCTTTGAGGTTCCTACTAAAAAATTCATAACTTTTGAACCACTTGAGCTAGAAAGTTGATCTTGGTGTTTTTGTAATTTATTCTCCAGGCTCTATACAGCTGTAGTATTTTTATATTTTTACAAATGTTTTGAAATTTTCATAAAAGTGCCTAATAATAAGTAATAATATGTTTGTAAATTTACTTCTTCAGTTTAACTAAAATAAACTATCACAAATGACATCGGAATAGCATTGGTCTAATGGGACCCGGCTGCGAATGGCGGCGTTGCGTGTCCATTCAATTTTCTTTCATTTAATACCTCATTTTGTCTTACAAACCGAACAATAATATTTTTTTTATCCCAACCTCTGACTTCTGGTAGCCGGGTAGCGACTTCATTCATTTATATTAAAAATAGGCTGCTGCTATTCGGACCCGGTCCGAGAAGGGATAGTTTAGGGTTATTAAAAAACCGAGAAGTGATAGTTTGGGGTTATTAAAAAATATGTAAAAATTATTGTAGGGTTTGTAAGACAAAATTTGGTATCAAATAAAAGATAATTGAATTGACTATATGTTTGTAAACTTACTTCTTCAGTTAACTAAAATAAGCTACCACAAATGACATCCGAATTGAATTTTTTTCAAAATGGAACCGGAAACCGATCGCCACTATATGGACCCGGGTCCCATTCGACTAATAATGAGACTAAACTATTGTATTTTGGTTATGTAATTTAAGTTTGGGGTAACTTCTATACAACTATACAGTATGCAAATTGATTCACAGACATGAGACAATGATTATCCTTCATGATAATAATTAGGGGCTTATGAATGTGATTAGTATAAAGTAACATGATTTATTCACAGACTCAAGTTGTGCTTCAGTTGGAAAAAGTATTTAATTCACTTCAGTTTTTAGTAATGTGTTTGTAATTGACACTTGCATTTCTCTTGATGTTTGTATATATAGAAGGGACTTCTACAGTATACTTGGTGTCTCGAGGTCAGCTGATATATATCAGATTAAAAGGGCATACAGAAAGTTAGCCAAGGAATTACATCCTGATAAAAACAAAGATGACCCAGAGGCACAAGAAAGATTTTCAACCCTTGGTGCAGCTTATGAGGTAAGTATGATGGCTAAGAGATGAAATGAAAGGCAATCACATGTGGAGGTTGTCATAACTCACAGATTTATTGTTTTAGTGATTTACATTTAATTTTGTTTTACTCTGTAGCCTCACACTTAAACTTTGACCAACTACTTTAAGAAATGCTTACATTATCATGATGTTTCTCTGTTGAAATTTTTTTATTTATTTAATTTGTGTGGCTCACTTTTTTAAATATTAAAAGTGTGTTAGGGGAAATTATAAAAGTATAACAAACAATAAGATCAGAAGAATGATATAATATAAAACTGGAAAAGTATAATGAACAGATCGGGGCCTGGGACAAGGAGACTGGCTATCATGTGTCTTGGGTAGCATCACTTTAGAAAAAGTTATTAGAAGCATACACGTGAGCACCAGAGGAACCGTAACAAGCTACTTACAGAGAGGTATTACAGAACAACAACCATCAGGAACCTTATATAGCCAACCATTGCTGTACCTGGCATATGCAGACGATATAGCGATACTGGGCAGAAACAGTTATGACATAGTTAAAGCATTCAAGGAACTTTAAAATGCCTCAGTCCAAGCTGGCCATTGATGCAAAGGAAACAAAGACAAAATATATGCTATGTCACGTGTTTGAGAGAGTGGCTACTTTCAAAGATTTAGGGGCAACTAAACGAGCACAATGAAATAATGTCAGGGGTCAAAGAAAGGATAATAGCTCGCAATGGTTCCTATTTCAGCCACCAAAAGCTACTGGGAAAGAAAAACCTGGTCAAGGGGAACAAAGAAGACACTATACACCACTATCATAAGACCAGTAGTAACTTATGCTAGTGAGACTTGGACCCCTACTAGAAAAGCAGAGAACCTTCTCATTACATGGGAGAGGAAAATCCTCAGAAAAATATACAGCCCAGTGATGGAAAATGATGTCTGGAGAATCCATACAAACCAATAGCTATTCCAATTGTACAAAGACTCACCCATAGACGCAACAATAAAAAAAAAGGCAGGCTGCGCTGGGTAGGACACATTGAAAGGATGCTGTAGTGTAGAGCAAGAAAAGTGATATACAGGCAGAAACCTACGGGCAGACGACTCACTGGTCGCCCAAGGGTGAGATGGATCGACACTATACAGAAGGATTTACACCAGTTGAAGCTTCGCCCATGAAGGAGGAAAGCCATGGATCGTTCCGAAGGGAAGAATGTGCTGGAACCAAAAGATTTTTGTACAGTTGGGCAATAGAGCCAACTTGATCCCCATCCATTTACCTTTCTAAAAATATAGATTTATTGGGGTCTTGTATGAATATTTCTGTGCCATTTAATGCTATTCCTAAAGGCAGTCCAAAAGCTCTGACAAGCTCCCACACTACACAAAGATCTAGGCCACAGTTCCTGACAAAATTACTAGTCATGAAAAGCTGTGGTAAAACTAGCATGGTTTTCATCATAAAAAAATGTTTGAAAATCTGTGCCAGTTCTTTTTTTTTTTTTTTTCGGTTCTCCATTAAATCAGGTTCTTTCCGATGAGGAAAAACGAAAAATTTATGATCAACATGGTGAGGAAGGACTCAAGCAAGGTGACATGAGAGGGGATCCATTTTCAAGGTATGTAAAAAAATTTGTTTAAATTATACTATGAACAAAATTATTTTGAAGATCAATTTAATCAATGAAAAATTGAGTAGTACTTTTTATAATATTTGCATGAGATTTAATTTAATTCATAACTAAATTTTTAAAATATTTTTTTTAAATAAAGCGGAACCATTTCTGTGAAAGTTAATTTTATTAAATTATTAGATTTTTTAAGTCAAGAAACCAAATGCCAATTTATTCATTACAGTAACATACATCTCATTAATTTTACAGTTTTTTTGGAGACTTCGGGTTTGGTTTTGGCAACGTTAGAGAGCAAGACAAAGAAATTCCCAGGGGAGGTGATGTGATATTAGATCTTGATGTTACATTAGAAGAGCTGTACAATGGAAACTTTGTCGAGGTAATTGCTTAGTAGAACTGGGTTTGAGGCAATTGCTTAGTAGAACTGGGTTTGAGGTAATTGCTTTGTAGAACTGGGTTTGAGGCAATTGCTTAGCAGAACTAAGTTTGAGGTAATTGCTTAGTAGAACTGGGTTTGAGGTAATTGCTTAGTAGAACTGGGTTTGAGGTAATTGCTTAGTAGAACTGGGTTTGAGGTAATTGCTTAGTAGAACTGGGTTTGAGGTAATTGCTTAGCAGAACTAAGTTTGAGGTAATTGCTTTCATAGAACTAAGTTTGAGGTAATTGCTTTCGTAGAACTGGGTTTGAGGTAATTGCTTAGTAGAACCGGGTTTGAGGTAATAGCACGGTAGAAAGGGGTTTGTCTTAAATTTTCCTACGAACATGCGTGGTTGGGGGGGGGGGGGGGGGGGGTAGATAGTTATTAAAAGGATAATTTTCATATTTGTTGGATGGACTTAAATATAGTATTCATCAGGATAACTGATCTGCAGTAATTATAAAGCAGAAGCAATTGCTATTGAAGCAGCATTACACTACCTATCTACAAACTTATCTCGGCAAACAAAGAACTGTGCAAATCAGTACTTCAGACAGCTGGGCATCAAGATCTCACAAGAACAATCGACCAGGAAATGAAGGCGCAGACAAAATAATAAAACAGGGAGCCTTCAGTAAACATCCAAACATACCTACATCACTCAACTTTACTAAGCAAAGAAGAGTGGTGAAATGGATGTGCTATGTGCTCAACAGGAAGATATGTTTTCACACCCATGCCTCTAATGATCCAATAGAATGTCCCCAAAGACATGAACGGCTCACAATCTTGCATCTGCACACCTTAAGTGCATAAAATCAGACAAAGCACCACTGTGCCCCCCTCTGCAGACATCCCAATGAGACGTTACCTCTTCCACTGCCAACAACTTCAGAACTAACTCCTAAATTTCGTACCAAAGACACCCTATGTACAATATAAAGAACAGCTGCTATGTGTGGCCACAGACCAAAGAGCACATGTCCTATGGTCTCTTGATCTGAATGATGATGTATAGAAAAAGTCAATTTTTTTTGTGTTAGCCCTGGAAATTACCCTAATTTTGCAATATATTGAAAGTAAACAGATCGTCCGATAGGGGTAATTTATAAGTCGTTCTAGCTATAACAAATAATTGATGCACCAAGATTACTTTATAATAAATAGGAGCCAGAATGATCAATTCATTGATCATGAAGAAGAGAGAAGATAAATATTTAATATATTTTTAAAAATCATTGCAGGTATTGCGTTACAAACCTGTTGCTAAACCAGCGAAAGGCAAAAGGAAGTGTAACTGTCGAATGGAAATGGTGACCCAGCAGCTCGGGCCTGGTCGATTTTCAATGACTCAGCAACAAGTATGCGATGAGTGCCCCAACATCAAGTAAGTCGGATCAAGAAAATATTTGAATCAACTTTATCAATCTTTGAACTTATTAAAACAAAGCTGTACTGGAGAACATTTATGTTTGAACAGCTGGTCCTGGATGACAAACTATCATAAATTTGAAATAAAATTGTTATTAGACACAAATATTGTCTCATAAATTATTAATTAAATAGATCCTGTTGGCCTTAAGGTACTTCCACTGTTTAATAAAAAGGGTGATTAAAGGGACGTTACTCTTACCTTTTAGTTTGTTGTTTTTGTCAGAGTTGTGGTTAATAGTTTTTTCGTCAATGCGGTCTGAGTAATGCATGTTCAGGGTCATTTAAAGTTTCTCAGCGGATGTCAGTTGATTTTTTTCCCCAATATATTTTACTACTTGAATTCTTATGTCAACAGATTTGTCCCCGAGGAGAAACTTCTGGAAATAGAAATTGAACCAGGCATGAGGGATGGTCAAGAGTATCCATTTGTTGCTGAAGGTTAGGATTTAGTCAATTTTTTGTGGTTTGGTTTATTGCTGTCTTTCAGAAATTTTAATTTTACCGCAGCCATTATGTTAACATTTTTTTTATTTTTTAAGTACATCTAAAACAGTTTGTGAAACAAAACCATTGATCTAGATATCAACAAAAACATTGATCTAGATATCAAGAAAACCATTGATCTAGATATCAACAAAAACATTGATCCAGATATCAAGAAAACCATTTATCTAGATATCAAGAAAACCATTGATCTAGATATCAAGAAGACCATTGATCTAGATATCAAGAAAACCATTGATCTAGATATCAAGAAAACCATTGATCTAGATATCAAGAAAACCATTGATCTAGATATCAAGAAAACCATTTATCTAGAGATCAACAAAAAACATTGATCTATATATCAAGAAAACCATTGATCTAGAGATAAACAAAAAACATTGATCTAGATATCAGCAAAACACATTGATCTAGAGATAAAAAATAATATTGATCTAGATATCAATAAAACCATCTTTATAACAAATTATGGTTCAATGATCACAACATGTTGGGATGGAATAAAGGTTTAAAAATAAATTAAAAACTAGTGACCTCCTGCCTGACCTACTTAAATGAAGCTTGACCCCCCGCCCCCTTTTTTTTCTTCCTTAGCCAATGGGTATAATTCCAGTTTAAAACGCATATGTACTTTTTTAAAATAGAAATACAATGCCAGTTTGTTATATTGACAGGTGAGCCACATTCAGATGGTGAGCCTGGAGACTTGAGGTTTAGAATACGACAAGTCAAGTGAGTCTTTAAAGCTATGAACTAACACAAATTGTCCCATGGTGGTATATCTAAATGTAGTATTACTAGTAAGATATTTACTTGTTTAGAAAAAATGAACTTAAAAAACATAACTCTGGTTCTTGAACGTAAGGGTTGTATATTTCCTAAACTTTTTTTCACGTCACTTCATATTGCTCAGATACATTTACATTCTATGTCAACCATTGTTTGTATGTTGCACAGACACGCCCGGTTTGAGAGGAGGGGAGATGACCTCTACACCAATGTCACTGTATCCTTAGCTGATGCTCTGACTGGATTTGAGATGGATATTAAACATTTGGATGGACATAAGGTAGGCATTTGGATGGACATAAGGTAGGCATTTGGATGGACATAAGGTAGGCATTTGAATGGACATAAGGTAGGCATTTGGATGGACATAAGGTAGGCATTTGGATGGACATAAGGTAGGCATTTGGATGGACATAAGGTAGGCATTTGGATGGACATAAGCTAGGTTTTGTGGACAGTGTTTCAACTTGGTGGAGTTGGTGACTAGTGTCTGAATCCAGGGGACTTGATGGATGATAGTTTTTCAAGATCCTACCTCTTGGATCTATTTCACTCTCACACATTTTTTTTTCAATATTTATATTTTGCCATGAAGGCACAAAAACCATTAATTTATGAATAAATAATGTTTTTGTTCTTTTATACTTGTGAATGTCCCAGGTTCGTGTTGTACGAGATAAGATCACGTGGCCTGGAGCCAGAATGAGAAAACCCAACGAGGGAATGCCCAACTACGAGAACAACAACGTGAAGGGCTCCTTGTTCATAACATTTGATATTGAGTTTCCAAAGGGAGTTTTCACTGATGAGGAGAAGAAAGGTAGGGATATCAAACTATCTCATCACATTAAGACTGTGACATTAGGAAATGAGAGTTGTGACAGTAAGAATGACCATTATGTCATTAGGAACGAGAGTTGTGATAATAAGAATGACAATTATGGCTGTTACTGGTACTTTCAGAAGATATTAATTTTGTTTTAAAGTTTTATGTGTTTTAAAAATGGTTGAAGATTAATTATTAATTTTTAAGGCTTAATTAGATTTCTTATTTTTAAAACAATGATCAAATGGTGTCGTCCGCCCCCCCCCCTCCATTTCACTAGTTTGTTTAGTCCAAAAACCCTTTTTGATTTGGTAAGCACCTTGTACATGCAGGATATACTCACTGCTAGCTTTCAGTTGATCAACTCTCACTTTTATGATTGGACAACCTTTTCTCATGTTTCTGCCGCCAATAACATCTTAAAATTTTCTTCTGTGTTCCAGGAATTAAAAGTATACTGAAGCAGGACAGCAAACAAGCAGTATATAATGGTTTGCAAGGGTTTTAATGAGCTGTCCCATTGTTAGGTATTATTATCCCTGTAAATAAATGTTACATTTCCAATGTCTGCTTGGCTGATGCTCACGATCCAAGCTTCATATTTTATCTTAACTTTTATTTATTTTTTTTTTAATATTTAGCTCTAACATTTCTACACTCTAAGATAATTTATGGTTAAATTTTTCATTTAAGAAAATTTCAGCCTATTCTCTGCAGTTTATAAAAACAAGAAATTAATCTTGTGGCAATGATTTTGTGGGTGGGGGGGGGGGGGTTTTTATTTGGGAATTTTTGTTTTTAATCAATTATTCAAACATTGACCTCATGTCTCTATGTCAAACTATAACATTGTTAAATATGCCTTATAGATATGTATCATTTTTTAAATGCTACAAAAATTACTTATTTGTGACACGGTTTAATGGGATCTATCAAATATGTGTTTGTCAGTGGTAGGAAGGTTGGCCTTGATTGGTCTGGCAGAAAGGTTGGCTTTGATTGGTCAGTGGTAGAAAGTTTGGCTTTGATGGGTCAGTGGTAGAAAGGTTGGCTTTGATTGGTCAGTGGTAGAAAGGTTGGCTTTGATTGGTCAGTGGTAGAAAGGTTGGCTTTGATTTGTCAGTGGTAGAAAGGTTGGCTTTGATTGGTCAGTGGTAGAAAGGTTGGCTTTGATGGGTCAGTGGTAGAAAGGTTGGCTTTGCTTTGATCATTTAAAGACAGTTCTGTTGTGAAAATGACCTAGAAATGCAGTATGATGCCATACCTGGAACACTATGAGCCAAGTGTTTCAAGTTAAGGAATATGAGATGTTGCACTCCTGCTCTCTGTTTGACGAGAATCTGTTTCAGTTGCCTGGAAAGGAAGTGAATGAAAGAAAATATGTGGTCTCACCTGTACAATTGTTTTTAAATATCTATCTATATCTCTATGACTATTGTTATACCTGTACAACATTCGTAAGAAGTGAGGGGGTGCTCCCCCCCCCCCCCA